AGAGCTCTGGGTGGATTGGGGGTACAGCAGCCTCAGCTCTGGGTTGGGGCTACAGCAGCCACATCCTCAGCCTCAATCAGCTCAATGTAATGGGTTGACGCTGGTACACAGTGCCCTAAATTCCCACACATACAACCTTCTCCCCCTTCTCTCTGTTTCTTGTACTTATTTTTTGCCCCCTCTTTCCTTTTTCTCACCCCCTTCTTTCTCTGACTCAGTTTTTCCTCCTTCCTTCTCAGTTGCTCTCCTCGGTTTTCTCCTTACCTCTATCGGTTTCTCTCTCCTCTGTGCCCTTAGCGTGACTCTCACCAGTCTCTCCCAGAGGGCTTTCAAACACACACCAAAAAATTCAATCTTATCACCCTCTCTGCATGGGAAATGTCATAATATAGAGCTCCCCTCAACCCCTTCCAAAAAATCCATAACATTGCAGCATAAAACAATTTGATACTTGACATCCCCATTGCCTTATCTTATAACTTCACTATTACACTCCATCAACCCTGCTGCTACACTGTCCTTGAAAGTCAGAAACTCTGGAATCAATACATGAACAAAATATTATACGTGTTTTATAGACAGACAGACAGCTGTGAATGATAGTTTGTTATCAAATCGATAGTACCCTATTATTTCATTTTATCGTAAAAGACACAATGACAGTCCAGTATAATGGAAATCTAACCTTTATGTTTTTCCTCAAAATGAGTAAGAGTAGTAATGATGATACTCAGCAGTCGATAGCTGCTTCTTGGCAGCGCTGGCTGGCAGACCTAACTCAATTTTTTTTAAACTGAGCCACTCTCTCAGCAAGTCGCTACAAGGGGCACTAAGGATGTGATACTGTCTGGGAAAGCTGATTGCTGTCATCAGTTTGGCATGAGAAGTGCTAATGGTTTTTGGGAGACATGATTCACTTTGCATTAGCCAAGCCTGTCAATCCAGAGTCATCAGAGCTCCTTTTTTTTACATAAAAAGCCTATTTCCTCTCCTCCATCAGTCCTTTCTCCATCACTCCCTGGCTGAGTCAATCTCAATAGTGATTTATTTTTCTATAGGTGCTATTCAGGGTGCAACTGGAGATAGAGCAGACAGTGAAGCTCCTAAATTACACTTTTGACCATATCTGTGGGCTATTGGCTCATAATGCAAAATCTCTAGTGCCACCAAGTGGCCAGGGGTCAACATTACTAGGAACACTTGTCAATCTGAAAGCAATGAGCCCGGATGGAAACTTTTACAGCTGGATCTTTGATTTAGTTCAGTTGGAAGGATGATCGAAATGTAAGGATAATTGAAAGAAGCACATGAGGAGGAGGGATGTTAAGATATATTTTTGGGAAGCTGAACAATAGGGGATCTTGTTCTCCACGGTGCTGTCTAAAGATATGATCAAAAATGAAATACATGACCAAACAACAAAACACAATGGTATTCGAATGTAACCCTGGTTGTAACCAAAGCCTCTCCCATTTCTCCTCTCTCCTCCAGTGTTCATCATGGGATCTGGGTTACTGGTCTATCCCTTTGGGCTCAACTCCACCTTGGTGAGGTCCTTCTGCGGGGACTCAGACATCTACTATGCCGGGGACTGCCAGATTGGCTGGGGATACATGCTGGCCATCGTCGGCGTCATGCTCACACTCTTCCTGCCTTTCTTCGCCAAATACGCCCCAAAGGAGCACCTGTCCCCGACACCCCTGCCCACTCTCTTATAGGGCAACAACTGACCCCGCCCTCGTCCAGTCAGTCTACTACAGTACTTCCTACTTCCCTGTATGATGTCATGGAGATGAAGAAACCCCTGCATCCACTTCTTCTGTAGGATACCATTTTAAAAAGCCCTGCCCACTGATATACAACTAGGCTATACCCAAATGTGACTAACATTTATATACCGTCTTCCTTCAAACAAAATATATTTATTTGATCTAATAATTTACCTTATTGTTATGTTCTTTCTTTTACTGTCAATTTGTGACTTTCCATTTCTGGTTAGACATATTTGATATTCAGTATCTTTTCTGGAAAAAATACATGTTTGAAAGAAACACAAGGATTGATAATAACAACCTCTGTTCAGATGGACAGAAGTATACATAAATATTCCTATCATGTTATTCATAGAAAGTTGGTTAAACACTACAGTAACCAGACAGAGGGTGATGGTCAGGACTATAACCATAATGACTCCATCGTGACATTAATAGTGGGCTATAAGAGTGGGCAATACTGAATAAGTATAACATTCCAGAATAATCAGGGAGTTGTTTGCATGAGAAAAGGTGGGAAAATAAGGAGAATCTTCAATCGTCAAGGGTGGCATGAAATTAACAGACAATATGAGACATTTCTACAGTTATCAAAGGATGTGGACATGCTTCTATCTTCAATGGGTTAATGTGGATTTGGCGAACAGTCAAGACAATGGGAGACCCATTTGACATCAAGACAAAGCGAGGATCAGAAAGTTAAGAACACGGTCTCAGACCCATAGATCTCAACACAGTGAGCGCATTCAAAGACTCCATCCAGTGGAGTTTGAGGAAAGTGGATTGTATATAGGTTTGGATCTAGATGCAGTTTGGATCCAGCATTGAACAACACTGTGGCTGTAAGGATGTCATAAGATGGACGTGTAGCACAGTGAAACATTAGCCCTGGGGACTCGTCATCTGACTTAGCTTACACCTTCAACATGGTTCTAAAGGGACGGAGACCATTCACATTTTTAACAAGTCTCAAGCAGTGAACCATCGGACAGTAACAATTCTAGAGAAATAGTTGGACATGTTTTTCAGTGGAGGAGATGTATTTGCCTTCAAGACAAATTAATATAGATAGGGAGGTGTGCATAATAACACAATATTTGTCTGATAGTCAACTTTTAAGGCATGTGAAAAGCATTTGTTACAAATTTGATGTTGGGATGACATGGCATCCTTCTACCAACCTTTCCAGAGTTCCTAGTGTTGATATGGTTGTCTTGTTAACCCAAGTTATTTCAGTTTTTACACCACACAATACTAGCGATACACTATAATTCAGGACTACATTAAATCAGGCGAAAGGCAAGAAGATAAGATAGTATTGTCTTGAAATTCTAGACTAGAGTGCAGATAAAGTTGGGGTTAGTTAATAAATAGTAAAACAGCTGATCTAGATTAAAATATATCTGCTCTGACCATACCAACGTGTGCCTTTATAACAAAACCAAGACAAGTTACTTCAATACTACACTCTTAGAAAAAAGGGTTCCAAAAGGGTTCTTCGGCTGTCCCCATAGGAGAACCCTTTTCGGTTCCAGGTATAACCCTTTTCGGTTCCAAGTAGAACCCTCTGTGGAAAGGGTTCTACATTGAAGCCAAAAGGGTTCTACCTGGAACCAAAAAGGGTTCTTCAAAGAGTTCTCCTATGGGGACAGCCGAAGAACCCTTTTAGGTTTTAGATAGCATAGAGTGTATTAATATCAGGTAACTATCTATTTCAGCTGAAACTGTGGATATTGTAGTGTAGAAATGTTCACATGTTGTTATTTTCCCTGTGTGCTGTACTTTTCCTGTATGTTTCAATATGTGCTTCTGTACATTATAATCTTGTTGAACTTGGAAGAATGTTCTATAGAAGAAAAAAGCTGATGTCTTCTAAAAGCTTCCAATTTATTCACAAGAGGGAAATCACTTTAATCACTAAATTAAAAGGTTGTGACATGCAGCTAATGCATTAATTCCTGGCATGCCCATACACCAAGTAGAGTGGCAGAGCTTGAGAGCTGTACAAATTGAACTTAGCCTGCAGTTATCAGTGATGAGTTGACACATTATCCACGTAATGTGTAAAGCGTGGCTAAAAATAATTACCTTCTGACATAAGCCAATGGATTAGTGTGTTTTTGCCCTCACATCTCCTAATTGAATTGTTTTATTCTTATCATGTTCCATGGACAAATTGTATAATTTCCCCAACTACGCAGCCAATTCAACAAATCGGTGTGCTTTTACATACATACTGTATTCCAAGGTGTGTGTGTGTGCGTAATGCTGGGTTGAACTTCTTTGAAAATTGCCAAATTTACTTAAAAAGAAGAAAAGTCCTGATAAAAAAAAAACATTGTAATTGTGTTGCCATGTTTTCAAAAGAAGCCCAGGAAAGATATGTTGGTGTTTGTATTGGACCTCATACTGTGCTTGATACTGGGAATGACTGGGGTTCACTTACTGCACAGGATTTGTGCCCCGATATTATGTTGAAACATTGTGTCAAGTCTCAGCACTGGTGAAACTGTTTTTGTAGAGTAGTAGTACTGGGTTTTCCATTGTGATATGTTGGTTGTAAATAAACGAATAACTGTATGTTAGCTCACTTTTCATTCTTAACTGGACCCCCCCCTTCCCTTTGAAATATATATTTTGAGATATTACCTCAACAATGTGTTTGTTTTATCTGAAACCATCCTCTTAACAATGTTTGCTGTTCTGTGAATTTTCTTTGTAATAAAACATTTCATAAATGAAGAAGAGAAAGGGGTTTTATTTTTTGTCCAAAAACAGAATTGCACATATGAAAAATGTGAAATGTGTTAAGTATTATATACACAAGAAAAACATATATACCTTATCTGTACTCTGCTGATATACAGATGCAAGTACAGATTTAACATTAGGAAATTCATAAACACACAATCTTAATTTGTTGCTTGTCACAAACAGATGGCACCATTTACAGGCAAGCAGGTGAAACTGCATACACTTGAACTGCCCAGTTCAGAATATTCTTTCAAAAATAAATCGGGAATCACGTACTACTCATCCCTGGAGAATATTCAGACATGTCAAGGATCTACATACAGTAGGACTCTATATACAGTAGGATCCTTCAGTTTCTAATAAAGAGGAGAGCGCTTGCCATATAGTGATACTCACAAAAACCCATTGGCAAAGACAATTGTTTTTCCTTTGAACTGTTGTTGGAAGCTCTCTTATGTGTTTCTTTGCTGCTGATCAGACTTCACTGAGTGATTTCACCAGGTCCCTCATCTCAGCGTCCGACGCTTTGATAGACTCCTGTGCGTTCCTCTGCTCTGAGGGCAGAGCGGCCCTGACAGACACACAGGTGAGGATGTCCCTGGTGCGGTCGTAGTTCCCCACACAGCGGTGCACCTGGCCTCGGATCAGCCTGGGCAGCTCCAGCTCCTGGTGGGGATAGAGCAGAGATGCATTAGACAAAAAGGGTATACATCCAGCACAACACGGTAAAGGTAACATAATGGGTATCCACCCTGGAGATACAGTACGATTTGAGAATCCATATCCTCCAGCCATGTCGAAAAACAAACTACTGCTTTATAATGCTGATGATCAGTAGCAGCTGGTAAGAATCATGTCGAAAGAAAATTCTGGTCTACAAAGTTCTTGATATCGAAAAGAACTGTGGATTTTTTAGGCCTTTAAAAACTCTCCAATACATGTGCTGAACATTAAGTAATTTAATGGTGTCCTCTGATTAACTCTAGACAGCCCTGTAACTGTATGTCTCAATTTTCTACTAAAGAGGAAGTGTTTTTCTGACTCACATTTTCATAGAAGACACACTGCACCACCTCTTTCCCATCTCTCATGAGGAAGTTCTTAGCTCCATGAGATCCGCCGGTAACTGCAGAGTCAAGAGTGGCTGTGGGACGAACATAGAATATGAATTAATAGAATAAAATATACATTATAAAAATTGTGTACACAGTACCGGTAATAGTAAATACAATGTTAGAGAAGTGACACTTCCTGAGAACTTACCGAAAATCTCAAATAGGTATGGGGCTCTGTCCTTGAACTGGCTCCAGTGTCTAATGCCATCAATGACAGCAGTCAGGATCCTCAGAGAGTTCTCAGTTGCTGGTTTGACCTGGAACACAGATGTAGTCTTCCCAATATAGGAGACATTAATGCTTTAAATCACTGATCTAGCATTGAACATACATTTTACAAGACTAGCATGATAAAAGGTATTTACGATAAATGAGCTGTCATTTTTACTTGATTAAACATATCTACAATTGGGTTAAATATGAAAACGATATAATTGTTATTTTATGGTAAGTAATCTACGGAAACCTTTGTTTTCCTACAGCAAGGGTATTCAACTCTTACTCTACGAGGTAAGGCCTGCTGGTTTTCTGTTCTACCAGATAATGAACTGCACCCACCTGGTGGCCCAGGTCTAAATCAGTCCCTGATTAGAGAGGAACAATTAAAAAACACAGTGGAACTGGCTTCGAGGTCCAGAGTTGAGTTTGAGGGTCCTACAGTACGTTAAACTATAAACTATAATTAGCACAGATTACTTACATGTTGTACCTGAGACTGAGAGGTATTTTGAGTTTGATATGTGTCTCTGTCTTCCATCAGCTGTTTCTGTGGCCCAGTGTTGGTGGTGGTTCTAAACTTCCAGGATGTGCTCTGCTTCTGTGGTCCAGGACCAGGACTTGGTCTGCTTGGAGGGGGAGTGGGTTTAGACTGCTGGGAGTAAAGAGGAGGCTCTGGTGGGTTGTCCTGTCTCGGTCTGTAACCTGACTGCTGCTGCTGACCCATCTGAGAGTAGCTACTTGGGGGTACTGGCTTGTTCTGTGTGTTCCCACTGCTGAAAGGTGCATTGTAGTTGCTCTGTCTGGGGTTTGCAGGGACTCTTGAGTCCTGCTTCACTGGTGGCTGTCCCATCTGCGGACTGGACATATGCGAAACAGTGATATGACAGGTTTATGTGTTGCATAACCATCAGACATCTATAATGACTGCCTCTACAGAGAGCTCCAGAGAGTCCTATCAATTTACCATACCCTGTATTCCCAGCTTTGTATGGGTGTGGCAGAGGTGCAAACCTTCTCCCCACAGGTCCCGGTGCACGTTGACTGTTAGGATACTGAGACTGTGGTTGAGACTGCTGCTGGTTGCCTTGTCTGCTCCACTGATTGTCCTGAGCAGCAGGTCCAGGACACCTTGGGGCTTGATCTTGGTAATAGCCTGTGTTACCTGAGCAGAGGTTGAAAGTACTATGAAAAATGTTGTATGTTATAGCATTGAGATATAGGTGGCAAAAATGCATTTTTCTTTGTGTGTGGTGCCATCTAGTGACTGAGACGTAGTAGAATCTCTCTCTCTCTTTAAAAATCCAATATAAATTCAGGATAAAAGTTTATGAATCACAGAACACATCTGATTATAGCTACTACTGAAATCCATGAGAAGTAGCCTATATTCCTCTTACCTGATGTGTTGATGGATGAAGCAGAGCTGTGTGTGGGCATGTATTCATTGCCGGAGCAGAATTTGTTCTCTGAGGGATTGGATGTCAAAGGCAGCCTGCTCCTTTTCTTCTGGTTAAACAGAGGCACAGAGAGGCATCCTGGAAGACAAACGATCATGAGACATTAAATTTTTTCTCATGACAGTGTTGACAATGTTTTGACAATGCAGCCATCAGTTTATGACATGAATGCGGCCATCACATTCCAATAAATCAAATGGCTACCTGGCGTATTTGCATTGACCCCCCCTTCCTTTTTTTTTGTACACTGCTGCTACTCACTGTTTATTATTTACATTCTATGCAGTCACTTTACCCCTACCTGCATGTACATATTACCTCAATTTCCTCGACTAACCTGTACCCACACACATTGACTCGGTAACGGTACCCCCTGTATATAATCTCGTTTTTGTTATTTTATTGTGTTACTTTTTTTTTTACTTTAGTTGATTTAGTAAATATTTTCCTAACTATATTTTCTTAAAACGGCATTGTTGGTTAAGGGCTTGTTAGTAAGCATTTCACGGTAAGGTCTACACTTGTTGTATTCGGTACATGCCATGTGACAAAATTGTTTTGATTTGATTTGAATTTCACAAACCTGCAGTAGGTCTGGCCTGCTGGTTTTCATATCTTCTCATCTTATTCCAGTGTCTTCACTCAATCAAAGAATCTAATGAATTCATAAAATAAAACATTTAACTAGCTAGCCTGACACCTCTAACTACAAAGCATCAAATACAACGTATTGCTAGCTAGCTGTCGTTAGCACTGGGCCTAGCTATAGTAGTTAGCTAGCTAGCTAGCTACAGTATAACGTTAGCAAAAAAAGTTATCAATAGCTATTTCTGTTTTAGTAGCTAGCTAGCTAAATAACAACCAAATCATCAAAGAATGTTTAGTTTTCATCAACGTTAGCCAAGTTACATTTAATTAAATAATGTCTTTCCATTGTTTACATGTGGTTTCTGTTCCAAAGTAGCTAGCTAAATACCTACTGTAGTTAGCTAGGCAGCCTCCTCCAAGCTTCGTCGAATAAAGCAGGGGCCTCCTTTTCGCCAGTCAGATTGGATAGGCACGCGCTAATGCCCGCGATTTCCCACTTCTTGGCTAGCTAGAACACTTAGCTAGCTATTAGCTAAGAGAGGGAGGCTGCACTTTATATAAATACTACCTAGTTTGTTCGTTTTCTTTTCAAGTGGGACTGAGTTAGTCTGTTGGCCTATATACTACAGCATCTATACTGCTCACCTGTTTAGGTACTTGTAACTGAGGTATTACTGTGCTCTTGTAATCAGTTAGGCATCATCACATATGGGTGACTGCGGTCAATTGAGCGATTTTTTTACATTCAGGATCACTCTGTGAAGGGAAATATAGTATTCTTTCTAACAAAGATATCTACATATATTTCAGGATGTTGTGTATCCCTGGACATAATCAGAACGCATGTAAACATTACAGTTTTTTTTTTTTAAACATAGCTTGTCTGGGTATTGGGTAAGTTGAGCCGCCTACAAATGTCTGTACTGAATGAAATATTACCACTACATTTTAAAAACCATGTCTATATTTCTTTCCCAAACACAATTCAACACAATCACACTCGTTTTTTTATTAATCATTTTAAGCATCTTTTAACACAGGCTTAACACCTAACAAACACTTTTAACATAGGCCAGGCCCTGTTGTTACCTCATATCCCAGCAATATAATGCCTTGCATTACGGCTGGGAAGAAAACACCTCAATTTGCCTTTGGCTCAACCTTTGGCTCAATTTACCCCATGGCCATTGGCTCAACTTACCCCAAGACAAACATTTTGACTATATTAGCCCACACAGCCAGAAGGATGCACTTTCATGCTTGGTTTAGGACCTCATATTGAAGCTTATAAAGACCACAACTGATATATAGAACAATCTTATAATGATCTACTTTGGTTTAGATACAAGCATCATGAAACCTCTAACACAAATTCATTTGATTTGGTAAAAATATGTTTTTTTGGACCTAACTTGCTTATCACTTTCCCCATGTGGTTTCTTCCTTTACAGACTCCATGAAATCATGACCTCTTCCTAAATATATACGTACCACACTCTCCCCTACCACAATAGATGCAATTTGAATCAGGTACAGTATATGAATAGCAGGCTACACACAATGCATTTCCAATGTCATGAATAAAATAGAGAATCACTGACTGTCAAGGTTTTTGTGTGTTTTTGAAGGGCTGATGTTTGAAGGAGAGGTTAGAGTGAGTAGACTGATATCCACCTACTGCAGCCTCCCCCAGAGTCAGGGCCAGTGGTTGAATGTCTCAACAATTCTGTGTCCTGTCCCCTGCTCTGTTATTCTTTAATGGGAGGGATTAAAGAGCATATACATTGACATGTCTCCACAGTCAATTAGTAACTTCCCCTCAGCTCCAGACCAAAGGGTGCATGTTACTGCAGTGCTACCAATGGAACTCTAGACACTTTATAAACAAGCATAAAGAAAATAATGAGAGAGAGAGCGAGATAGAGACTGTGTCAAAGTAGATTAGATTGGTGTGTGTTTTTGGTGCATTCTGTAATGTAATTTAGAGCAGATTATTTTTTTTACCCGTTTCCAATCATAATCGTTTAGCTGCCAGGGTGCTTGACGTGCTGGTTGATAATCAGACAAGGGGAATGATTGTTTTGCCAAATAAATTGTTATTTGTTTTGATGGGGCTATATCTCTTTCATATCAATTCTTTGTAATGCACTGCAAACTTGATTAAAAAGTGATGAGTCTTTTGGATCACACATGTTCAATTTCAAATTGATTAAGGTTAGGGTTAGAGTATATTGTCATTTGTTCACCCTAGATAGAAAAGCAGTGGGATCTGCACACAGTGGAGCACATGTCTGAAATGAAGTGACACTGACAGTCTCACATTGTCATAGTCATGTGATCAAGGGTGGAGCTCCAGGAACCTGATCACAGAGTATGAGATGACTATTACCCCCACAAGCTGGGCTATTATCATTGTAGGAGGGGGTTATTTACAGTACCAGTCAAAAGTTTGGACACACCTGCTCATTCAAGGGTTTTTCTTTATTTTTACTATTTTTTACATTGTAGAATAATAGTGAAGACATCAAAACTATGAAATAACACATATGGAATCATGTAGTAACCAAAAAAGTGTTAAACAAATAGCCACCCTTTGCTTTGATGACAGCTTTGCACACTCTTGGCATTCTCTCAACCAGCTTCACCTGGAATGCTTTTCCAACAGTCTTGAAGGAGTTCACACATATGCTGAGCACTTGTTGGCTGCTTTTCCTTCACTCTGCGGTCCGACTCATCCCAAACCATCTCAATTGGGTTGAGGTCGGGTGATTGTGGAGGCCAGGTCATCTGATGCAGCACTCCATCACTCTCCTTCTTGGTAAAATAGCCCTTACACAGCCTGGAGGTGTGTTGGGTCATTGTCTGTTGAAATGTCAGTGAATGTGTGTGAGAGAGAGTGTGCGCATTTGTATTCCTACATTCCATAGAGCCACAGAGCCTCTTAAGCTTGCACTGGATCCTAGTTAGTCCAGTCCATTCTTTATCACTGGGGGAATAACTCAGCATGTTAATCTAGCCACAGGAGGACACAGAGCTCACATCTGATGCTAGAGCCCTGCCAAAGAGCCAACAGTTACTCTTACATAATGTCTAAGACTAGAGAGACAGAGTTTTCTGTTTACATCTTTTCCTCAGCACATATTCTTTAGAATCTAAGGAAGGCATAGATGTTTAGAGAATCAGTGGCAAGATGTTTACTTTATCCATGTTGAAGATGGATCTGTTACTCTGCACTGGAAGAGGAAAATAGGAAATGACAAGGGTCAGGGCTGAGTTACCAGCATTTCTCTTCATTAGCTCTAGGCCTGAGGGTAATCGCTGACTCTTCAGTGTGCCTGTGACATACCGGCAGCGAGTCCGAAGGCCACCCTTTTATGACACACATGGCCTCTCTGTATGAGCGACTGTGTCTTGTGTTTCCAGGGTCCCTACCTCCATGGCAACAGATATTTGCATAGTCTTCTCAGGGAGAGGAGCCTCCTTCCTTGCACTTCATTCCTCTTTAAACTCCCCTAGCATTAATTGGTCTCCCAGCAGCAGAGAACTGATCAATTTCTACTCCTTGGTGCAAAACCAATGGCCCACCACTGGCACTGGCAGCTCTCCAGAAGAGCATCAGACAGACCAAAAACACGAGGAGGCAGAGATTTAACAAAGAGTATGGATTTTTTGTTGTTGAAAATAGATAAAATGGTCAAAGTAGCCTAAAAATGTAGGCCACCCATTAATGGGATATGGTGAAAATTGCTCTGCAAAAAGGTATTTCTCCAGTTTATGGGGTGGGAAATTCCGTTCCAGGTTTCTCTCCTGCTCTGTCTAC